ACCTTGGGAAGGGAGTGCAGCGGGTTGTCTGCAAGGACCATGTACTACAGGTGTTGCTATGGGTCAATTGTGATTGAGAGGGTTCCTGGCATGGCTCCAAATGCAGATCAAGGTGTTGATCCAAAAGCTCCTGAACCCTTTCACTCCGGAAATCTCATTCGTAATTCGGCCTTACTGTCTCCTTATCTGTCTTGCATGGGGTGTTCCACTCTTTACAGATTATCCTTATGGCTTTGTTTGTTTGTACATTTAGATCTATGTGTTTGTCATCATTGCCATTAAATTGTAATAAGGTCATACAATTCTTATGATGTTAACTCAGAGAATTTGGTTCAGGATCAACTAATAATCCCCTAATTGATATTTTTCTTCATTCTTGTCACATGTCGGCTTATTATGGTGCTGTGAGAACAAATTCTGTCTTGATCAGTCATGTAAGTGAAAGGGTTAAGGTTCACATCTATGCATTTGCACTTGCTGGAACAAGTCAAGGGCCTGACAGTCTTTGCCCAACAGTGTTGGTTTCTGCTTGCTATCTGTAACATAGAAGGTTACATTTAGCTCCTTGTTTTTTAATCATTCTAGAAGGGTGATGTAATCTTTTGGTTCGATCATGGTGTTGGTTGTAGAAAACCAATGTCTTTTGGGTTTTCTTGATCGGGAAATCGGCGCTATTTGTCTGAGCTGAGTGGTGTTGTCGAAAGTAGAGAATTTTGAGAGTGTTTTAGATTTGCAGACCCTTCTGTGACAGTTGTTTTTGATTAGCAGTACAAACATGTTCAAATAGTTTCTAAGTGACGTAATAGCCTAGGACTGAGAAAAAAGAGGTCCTTGGGATTGAAAAAACACGTGCGAGGGAGAGATGAACAATTAATATTTGTATTAAGCTTTTCGTGATGTTGAGATAAAGTTATTTGACGTTTCTTTGGAGTCAGATAGTTGTTTGATAATATTCTTAGCTTGGTGGAGTGTTAGCACCTACGGAGTCGAACAGGTGTTAATTACATTTGCATAGGCACCGGTTTTGAGCTGACAAAACGGTGCTATTGCCGACTTCCAGGAATTACACCATTCATCCTTTTGATCCTTGTTCTTGTTGTTGTGGATCCAGGTTATTTCTAGACTTGCTGTAGTAGTTGTAAATCCCTGTGAGGACCTTCCTCATCCTGGGATATTCTTCTTCTGAATAATCAGTTTCATTCAACTAGCAATACTCTTTCAACTTTTATAAACTTAGGCAAAGCTAAAGTGTCCAATTTTCTTGCACTTATTACACGACTCATTCCTGGATGAATACTTTTACTTGTGGCTTGTTGCATTGTATCTACACCTGTCAAATTCTTGCGCCTACTTGTTTTTACCTTTTGGTATTTCTAGGTTACCTAGATAAGTCCTTCATCCAAGTACCTTTACTGACTTCAACTCTCAGGTCTACCCCTGACATCACCTGCATTCCATCCCTTGTGGCCCTGCACATTCAACTAATGTTGATGGTTGTTGTGAGTGCGAGGTTAATGCTTTTCTCAAGGCAATGTTGTCGTACCTGTTCATCCAGTGATTTACGAGTGCTGGTGTTCTAAATTATAAACTTTTTAAACAAAGTTCTTGTTGCACTGTTAATGTTATCAGTTGCTGTTATCAGTCAAAACGAAAGTGTTTAACATGGAGTTGTTACAAGTTTGTTAGGAGTTGTATGAATTTATGTATCTGAAGCTATCACGCAACATACTTTAGTCCGCAGTCTAATCAAGTACAGATAATAAAGTAAAGCTCATTTTGCAGGCTTACGGTAATTTAAATCTGTAAAACAAAATCGTAAACATGCCTGAACCCCAAGAAAATCAAAGAGGTCAGTTCCATTTTACCAGCAAACGTGGTAGAAACATGTTTTATCTAGAAACATGCTGCGACATTTCCTTCGTGTATTTTCGGTCAGGAAAGTGTCCTGTCACGCATTCGAATTATTCATCGACAACGTACTCTGCTTATACCTTACACAAAGTACAGCTACTGCGTCAGCTAATATTTCAAATTACATTTGCTCTTTATGTCTTAATGATGCAACTCCTGTTTAATAATTTGGGAGGTTGAGTATACAATCCACACTTGCAGTGAGCTGACCGCTTCATTCTTCCGGTCTGTGGAGTTTTCCGCAGAGATTCTCGTTTCGCAAATTACAGGTGGCCATTTCGGAAATAACAGTTTATATTTCGCAAATACCAGATTTATGTTTCACAAATCATTGACAGATTTCCGATTCACAAATGAAAGATTTCTATTTATTTCAAGAATTATCAACAGATTTCTATTTCGCAAATTACAGATTTCTACTTAGCAATTCATTAACAGATTACTATTTAGTAGCAGATTTTCATTTCGTTTCGCAAAGTGCAGTAAGCCCAATTTGCAAGCAATAAAACAAGGAAATTCCGCAGGAAAATATTTCACAGTGGACTTCATATCTCAGTAAAGGTGCAGTCATCGATAACAGGAGCCTCAAGCTTGCATTTTATTTGGGGTAAATTTCTTCATTTCGGTCACGAAGAACAGAGGAAATTGAAGGAACTTGAAACTAGCTGTAATCTAAGGTATCAAACGCTCCCAAATAATTTCTGATTACTTCTAGTGATATATTCCAGCAACAGCAATTGTAAAACTTTGTCAAAAGGAAACAAAAGCAAGAGGAAAACAGACGGCCCTCAGAAGAAATTCTTGAATCCTAACAGAAATCCGGAAATCCGGATACCCATTCGGACATTTCTTAGCTAGATGTTAACTTCGTGCGGCGTTAAACGATTCACCAAAAACGAAACATCCAACAAAAAACGCCTTTCCTGTAAAGATAACAAGTCAGTTTTTCTATGCGAGTGCCATAATCATCATCAGTTTTTAAAATGAACCTAGTAGCTCTTGGCTGAATTCTTTCCAAATTGTCAACGTTCCTTGCTTTGTGTCAGGTGACCAGATAATGGTACACTTCTTACCATGGCACAATACAGCGTACGTCTTGAGGGTGCCAACATCATTCAGACCTTTGCAAGTCCTTTTAATAAGAGCATGAATCTTGTTTGCTTTACCGTAGATTTTTTGATGACAGTTTGTTATTAGTGATCAGGCCGAGATCACAGAATTTAGAAGTTTCTTCTAAGATGTTGGTGTTTAGGCTTGTTGTTAGAGAGAAGAGGCATTCTTTTCTCGGTGATACACATCAATTTACACTTCTTAACATAGAGTTCATTAGGTTATGCTAACTCTAGGCATATTGATTATCTAGATCTGACTAAAACTCACACTGGTCTGAAGGAGAGTTAATCACTCTAGATGTTTTACACTCGTCATCATATAATGCTTTTGAGTTCCCAAGCTTATAACTTGACTACATCAGGTAAATCACTGATGAAAATCACAAAGACTAATGGCCCTAATAAGGAACCCTGGGGTACTTCAGATGGAACTGACGGACCAGGCAGAACTCTGACCCACCATAACAACCCTTTGGTCTCTTTCTGTCAGGTACTCCTTACACCAGTTTCGCAAACTACAAAAGATGCCAAAATTACAAAGTTCCTGCAGAAGTATAACATATGTAATACTCTATCGAATGCCTTGATGAGATCTTATAACACGACATCCATTTGTAATACGTCATCCAAGGCATTTCATAGGTGTATTATTTTTTAGGTAAGGACTTGGCGGTGTACATTGTTCGATAGCTTGTGAACGCAAAAAAACGAAATATATGATTGAGTGGTCTCAACATAAGCCTACAACTCTTTTTCTTTTCTTCTTCTTTTTGTTTAAACAATGGACAATAGAAAAATTATTGAATTCGGTTTTCGCATGATATCATGAATTATCAAACCTCGTGTCTGAGTTATCTGCCTCAGTTTTTAGCCTCAGCAGATAACTCAGACTTCGGTATCGATAATTCCTCATATCGTACTCAACTTCATCCAATTAAAGTTTATTCTCACCTGATTTTTTATACTAATTAGAAGTAAGTCTCCCGAGTTAGGAGTAAGTCTCCCGAACGGGAGTCTATTTTCCGAGACGTCCAGGCAAAAGTAATTTCAATCTAATGACCTGAAGTAACAACCTCTATTAGATTCCGCTGTTACTGAAAGCTTAAAATAGGAGGATAGAGATTTCTCGTCCTATGCCTCAACTGTTCCTTCTAGGTATAAGAGATTATCAGCTCATTTTCTTGGCAGAGCCTTGATCGTTGAGAGTGTAACGTCTCGCTCGGTCACTCATACCCGCCAAGACGAATACAAGGCAAAGACATGAACCATCCACTTTTTCCGGCCCTTCGCAAGTCTTCCTATCTGTCTCACTTTTTCCCCACCTTCCACGACCTCATGATTTTCTACAAGAGAACATGACCTGAAATCCCTTTTCATTTTTGTGCCACCTCTTCTTCCCTTTCCCAAAAGCATCAGCATAGTGCGGGGCGGCCTTGGCGATGGGGGCCTCTTAGTAGTGATTGTGACGAGATCAACACCAATTGAAAAAGCTGAAAAATTATCCCACCAATAACGTAACTCCATTTTCTGCCTTTAAAAGCACACACAACCCACAATTCCTCTATTCGCTCCGACGAAGGGCTAACGCTCGAAACGTCAGCTTTTGTAATCATTACGGTGGCCAATTTACCATTTCAACTTTGTTGATATATCCAAATTATTTCGTTACTCCCACCGACGCAGCCCCAAACAGTTTCTTTCGAAACTATCAGCCTTTATTCATTTGTATGGAATACAATACCGAGGATTTCAAACTTGATCTTTTACTCATGACAGGTTTTGGCACATGTCTTGTTTTCACCACTCACAGGTCCACTCATTTACTTTGGGTTCAACCGAGGTTCACCAAATTCATCGCAAAAGACTGGTAGTGAGTTATTAGCCTCGTTCAAAAGTATTACATCATCTTTTCGTCATGACATGCGTGCTAAAAATCGCGGGAAGCTGAAAAAGAGATTCATTCATTGGGGATTGCAACAAAATGCGTCGAAATGTGTTGGGGCTGTAGGAGCGAGCCATTCTGATTGTTATTTGTAATATGCAGTGCTGCTATCGATTTACGAAAGGTAAAACCATCTTAGCCGCTAAAATTCCGTCAAAGTCAGAGATGTAAGATAAAAGCTTTGCAGCAAGGGAGGTTTTGTACGCTTATATGCAACTACCTGCATGTTCACAGTATATATATTTAGCACAAGATTCGATGATTTCATAAACGATATTATTTGAAAAACAAAAACTAATCAGTCGTTCGATCAATAGAACTTACTGAACGATTGGTTCGGTTGAATTCGGCAATTGAACGCAAGGAACCCTCACAATAACATTGGGGCGATCGAACTTAGCGCCGGGATTCGGCTAGATAAGATGGTCGAAGTTGGAATGTATTCGATTAGCTTCCTGTTCCTTTAAACCCTAGTTGCCGAAATCTGACTGGGAAATGTCGAAAAGGAAAGCTCAAGACAGCCCCCAAAAGGCTAAACTCTCCAAACCTACATGTTCACAAGAACAGCTGGAACACGCAACGGTAAGTAAATCTTCTTTTGAGATGTTCAAAAAAATTGCTACCCTGTCAGCCACTTCAATTCTTCTTGAAACGTAGTTTTGCTAGTTCCGTTGAAAGATTCTTCCAAACTTCTTAAGAATATCAGATTTTTCTTTAGAAATGTCGAGAGATTCCAACGATTAACTTGGTTTTTTAGTGGACAAATATTCTCCGAGCTTGTGCTGTGCCCAAAAATCGAACATTTTCAAAATATGGTGGCAGCAGCCAAGAAATCGATTCGACTCATATTCTTAAGCTAGGTTGGCCCAAGAGTGAAACAAACCACTGCATACTTCGTTTGGCTGAATATCGATTTATTTCGAGAAAATCGATAACAACTGAATTCCGCCAAAATGTGGCTTTTGAGGCTCAAAATTTCAGACCCATCTCGGAGAGTCGCGTCACAAAATGAAAAAACCTGGATTGATAAAAAGTACCAAATCTTGAAAAACAACATCAAAACATCTATTGATTGCAATTTGAGCAATTCTTGAACATTTATGTACACAATCTAATTTGTCCGATCTACTTTCAACTAGATTAAAAATAGGTCAAAAGTAGCCCGTGAATTAAGTATGTGCTATACAAAATAATTAACCGAAAATCTGGGTTTCGGAAGGCGGAAGGTAGTTCTTTTGGATCTTTAGAGGATTTTTTCAGGAAATGATTCTGGACAATTTAATCAAGTTTTAAAGTTGGATAAAATGCGCCGATTCGACAGTGTTGTCAATTAGTCGAAAATGCACACATACTCACGCGAACTCAATTTTTTCGCATTTTACGTCCCATCTACTGCTTCTTTAACATTATATGCTCTTACCTTCCATGTTTCTAGGATTGCAGTCCTGAAATTGTTGCATCTCCCTCACAATAGCGATAGTACTTAGAAGGATAGTCAACGCCTTCTAATAATGATTGTTCACACAGCATATCTTGGGGTTTTTGATTTGAGGTTTATCTATTCCCATTTGGTTGAAAAAGAGGCTGTAATTACTTCACGTAAGAGATCTTTGCTTAAAGTGCACCTATACCCAAAAATTTTTTTTCGCTTAACGAAATAAGCTTATTTTTTGGAGTATTTCTCTGCAAAAATTTCTTAATTTGCTCAAATCTTTAATTTTCTGTGCCCAGTCAAAATACGGAAAATCGGCCGCCATCTTGCCCCACGACCGAGTTTAAAGAGGAATGGCTCTAGCGGGTAATGTGACGTCAAATCGAGAACACGAAAGTCTGCATTTCACACATTTTCACATGTTTGGGAAGGTTGTAGTCGATGTTGTCCGAAAATATGTCGACTAAGTGTGTTGTAGGATGTAGCAACGCGCGAAATTTGCAAGAGGGTATCGCGCTTCGTACATTCCTCATACAACACACCTAGTCGGCATATTTCGGACAATATCGACGACAACCTTCCCAAACAAGTGAAAATGTGTGAAATGCAGACTTTCGTGTTCTCGATTTGACGTCACACTACCCGCTAGAGCCATTCCTCTTTAAACTCGGTCGTGGGGCAAGATGGCGGCCGATTTTCCGTATTTTGACTGGGCACAGAAAATTAAAGATTTGAGCAAATTAAGAAATTTTTGCAGAGAAATACTCCAAAAAATAAGCTTATTTCGTTAAGCGAAAAAAAATTTTTGGGTATAGGTGCACTTTAAAGTTTAGTCTTTAACTAAACCATATGAACCAAATGTAAGCGCAATTTTGCTGGTTCAGAAATGTGTTTCTTGTTGGGGGAACAATGGTAATTAATTCAAATGAGATCCACTGAAATTGACAACTTCACAAAAACAGAACATTGTTCTGTGAAACACGTGGCTTCAGGAACTTAGGTTTTGTCCTAAGCAGAAAAGAGTAAACAAACCCATGTCGTGCTTAATCTGTCCTTCTGAGTTAATTAAATTTAAGAAGTAAATGACTTCTTCTTATAGACAGCCTAAAAAACACTTCCCTGTTTAGCGGATCGGCAAGGTATGTTAGTAATCCATTAGATACGCCAATGGGGTGTGGGTCTTTTGACAGGCAGGGAGTTCATACTTTAATAACAACAATTTTCAACCAATTCTTGCAAAATATCTATATTGGGCTACTTCCGCTTGCTGGTTATTGAAGAAACGTCTAGTTCAAGCACTGCGCACATCTCCCGTCGGATCCCAACGAAAACTTTGACAACTTGGACTGGCATGCAATTTCACAAATGTTGTATTTGTCATACCATGATAAATGACCATGATAAAATACCATGATACATTTAATTATGATACATTTTATCACAAAATGTTTTGTATATTTAAAACAAGACCTAAGTTCCTGAAGCCACGTGTTTCACAGTACAATGTTCTGTTTTTGCGAAGTTGTCGATTTCAGCAAATCTCGTTTTGATTTAATTAGCGTTGTTTCCCCCATGAGAAACACGTTTCTAAACCAGCAAAATTGCGCTTACATTTGGTTCGTGGTTCGGTTAAAGACTAAAATTTAAGCAAAGATCTCTTACGTGAAGTAATTACTGCCTCTTTTTCAACGAAATGGGAATAGAGAAACCTCAAATCAAAAACCCTGAGACATGCTTTGTGAAGAATCATTATTAGGAGGTGTTGACTATCCTTCTAAGTACTATCGCTATTGTGAGGGAGATGCAACAATTTCAGGACTGCAATCCTCAGAAACATGGAAGGTAAGAGCATATTATGTTAAATAAGCAGTACATTGGACGCAAAATGCAAAAAAATTGAGTTTGCATGAGTATGTGTGCATTTTTGACTAATTGATGACACTGTCGAATCGGTGCATTTTATCCAACTTTAAAATTTGATTAAATTGTCCAGAATCATCTCCCCAAAAAATCTTTTAGAGATCCAGAAGAACTACCTTCCGCCTTCCGAAACCCAGATTTTTGGTTAATTATTTTGTATAGCACATAGTTAAATCACGGGCTACTTTTGACCTAGTTTTAATCTAGTTGAAAGTAGGTTGGACAAATTCAATTAGATTGTGTAAATAAATGGTTAAGAATTGCTCAAATTGCAATCCAGATGTTTTGATGTTGTTTTTCAAGATTTGGTACTTTTCATCAATCCAGGTTTTTTCATTTTGCGACGTGATGCTCCGAGATGCATCTGAAATTTTGAGCCTCAAAAGCCAGTTTTTGATGGAATTCAGTTGTTATCGATTTTCTTGAAAATAAATCGATATTTAGCCAAACGAAGTATGCAGTGGTTTTTTTACCATTGAGACCTACTTCACTTTGAAATATGGGCGAAATTGAATTTTTAGCTGCTGCCACAAAATGTTTGACCATTGGTAACATTCGCTCTTAATGACTGAGAGTGAGCTCAGACTGAGGCCTTGCAATCTTGCAATACTGATAGGTAGAGGTTTGAGATTTTCTAGTAACAACCAAATGGTTGCGGTTATTTTGTTGTTTATCATATGACTTACAAAGTGTCGAAACAGAAAAGTTATTCAAGTGGAAGTTGTCAATTTACATTTGATGATGTGTATGGTAAACTTGTGCAATCTGTGAACTACTGCACTTAGTCATATATTCCATCAACAGGGTTCTCAGTAGTTTTTTAGTCAGATGGCCAAGAAGTAATTACAGGTGGCTCAACTTCAGCCCAAAGGGCTGAGGCGAGGCCCAGGGGGCCAAGCTACTAGGGGGTCCGGGGGTATGCCCTCCGGAAAATTTTGAAATTCTATGTTTCCAGAGATACAGTTTCCTGCATTTTGGGGCACCGACTTTTGTATTTAAGAAATTGGATTAACTTAGCAAAAAAGCCTCAAACATGTGCATAAAACGAACTTTACTAGTTGTACTTTGTAAATATTGATTTACATTGACAAGAAATGTATGTAACCTGTGAAATTAGTTATATTGTTCTTGTAATAATTCACAGTAGAACCATGTACACAAAAACTCGCTCGGGTACATTAGTCAAATTATGTTGATTAAATTATTTCACAATGTTTTCATTCACGGCTATAAAATAAACAGGTTACCGATTCTTTATTTTGACTTGGTGAAATTGCTTTCTAGAAACTTATCTTGAATTATTTTTATGCTATTAATATATTGATTTCAAGGGGAATGATGTTTCATTCACATTTAGTACCAGTTATTAAACCGTGACTAAATTTCAAAAACAGCTGCACAGATATGTTACGATCCAAAGGCTGTTGCAATAAAGCTGAATTATTTATTCTACTAAACATCTCATTTATAGTTTTATCAAATATGATTCTATCAAAATGAGATAGAGTCCAGAAAGATGAAATATTTGATTCAAGAGCTATTACACGTGTCATTGATCTTACAGCCTCTAATCGACTTATTGTAAAGTAAAACTTACCGCTATTGTTTTCTTCGTTCTTCTTCTTCTTTTTTGCCGTTGGTGTAAAATAACTGAAGAGCGATTGGTCTCGTTTGGACATATTTGAAACCACAAAGGGCCAAGGACTTCCGTTTGCAATGAAAAATATAGCATGTCGGCGTGCACAAATTCGCTGTGGTTCATTTAAACATGGGCATTTTGTGATTGATGCGATTGATAAAGGTCACAAAGGTCAACCGTAACAACCGTAGAACAATTCACAACAGTGGCACTCCGGTTACTCAAGAATGAAAGCACGTTAGTGGGTTCCTAAGCAGAAAATTCAAGAATACTTCTTGAATACCTGTTTATACTTTATTGAAGAAATTTGGCACACAAAGGCAAATTTCATTGTCAGCACAGGCGGCTACTTTTGTCTTGATAGGCAGCGGAATTCGCTGGTTGCCGGCTTCTACTGAGAACCCTGCATCAAGAAACACATTTAATTTTTGCAAAAAGTGATTCTCATAAGTGATACTCGTAGGGATTCTCTAAAAAAAGTATTCCAGTACAGTGGTGTCATGATTTATGAGAGAAAAGAGCTGAAAAATGCTTCAAAATAGTTCAAAGATGTTGTGCCCTTGGTGAAAGAATATGCAAATGCTTCAGAATGCACTGTTCAGAATATATCATTCTTCTCCTTCACTTATGACAACATATCTTTGCCTTCTGGAAGAATTATGGATGAACTGAACTTTACAAGCCTTTTGAACATCTAAATTTAACTACATGAAATAATCAGAAATAATGTTGACAATAGAAACCACTCGCTTGTGTACATCTGATGTTCCTAGTAACTGATTTAAACTTGGTTATCTAATGAACCTGTTGATGAGAACTACTAGGCTAACTGTGACAAAATTTAACCTTTTGGTAATTGTTGAGACTACTAGATTTTTGTTTGATATTCTGTTAAGGATGCATGATAGATCTATGGATGTTTTTTTTTTTTTTTTTTTAACTTGGCAATTTAAGCTTTACACACAGCAGGGCAAACTTTGAGTTGTTCCTCAGTTCTGCCCGCTCAGGTTACCAGCTGGTAAGATAATAATGGCCTCTTTACAAAATTTATTTCTGATAAATTTCTTGAAATGTTATCATGTCAATGACATTTTTCTGATGCAAAGTTTTTTTTAGGTTCTTATTTTGAATGTTGGCTTGAATGTTTTCTTGTTTGTTTACCTCATGAATCCCTTCCAGCACAATCTTATGGGTAATTTAAAACTGTACCTTAGTTGTTCTTCTAAAACTTTAGCTGTTTGTGTGAAATTTAGTCCACTCTGCCTGGCTGTTGATCAGCCTTCATTGATTTCATACCCTTAATTTTCAAAAAGGAGAAAAGAACTGCTTTGGTGCTTGTCTGACATTTCTTTGTGCTCTTTGAACTTTCTAATGTGCAGAATCCTTAATAGGCTGGTAGGCATTACCACTGTACGATGCTCTGCTCTGGTCTTGCTCTTAGCCAAACAGAGCATGTGTTATATGGGCAACAGGCCTAAGCCATATAATAAACTATATTATTATCCAACTTTGCTTCTTAGAATACAAATGACGCCCAAGACGAGTACAACTACTCATTACAACAATTACTTCAAAACAATCCATAGATTGGTACTATCGTTTTGCAACCTCCACTCATTTCATTCAAAAGCTACAAAAACATATTAAGCAATTTTTTGGTCAGAAGTTCATTCCTAATGACCAACCTGACACTTTTAAATGTGCTTGTGCGCGATGCAAAACTTGTCCTTTCATTCACAATGCTGAGAAAATATTGGGACCCAAACAATCCATTAAGATCACTGATCATTTCACTTGCACCTCCGCCAACATCATCTATTGCATAACTTGCACTTACTGCGAAAAGGTATACATCGGTGAAACAGGAAGACAATAAGGTGACCAATTCCAAGAATACCTTCATGACATAGCAAGGAATGACAAGGATGCATCAAAGCCAGTCGCTAGACACTTTAATCTACCTAATTATTCTAAACAGCATATGGCAATCTGCGGTCTTTCCTTACAATTGGGTAGCTTGGAAAGGTGCAAAACTCTCGAACAAAAGGTTTTCTTTCAAATCAGCACCCTTAACCCCAAAGGTATCAACAAACGCTTTTTATTTTACTAATTTATTCGTGTTTTTCTTGTCAACATGTTCCCACCAATAGTCTAGCTCCACTTTCAGCATGTAAACCTGCATGCAACCCACAATTCCTCCATTTGCTCTGATGAAGGGCTAATGGTCAGAACGTCAGCTTTTTAACTCTTAACAGAGGCCAATTTAGAAGTTCAACTTAAGTTGATATAAACCAATTACCTTGTTACCCCCACCAATGCAGCACCACAGTTTCTTTAGAAACTTACCCCCTTTATCTTTGGTTATGGTAACTTCCCTTTAATCAGTTGGTTTTCTGCAGTATAATTACTATATAATCATGTGTCATCTCTTCAGTTTCTTTGAATTGAAGCACATGGTAACAGAAACACATTTAAATGTGTCTTATACTCACAAATGTCAGCTGCTGACCAAATATGCTACGCTCCCTCCCCCTCAGCCAGTCTCCCTGAAATGTTTCTGAACATCACAACAACAAAAAAGTTTCATCCAGGAGTATGGCAAAATCTTAACTCCAAGCAATTTTTAGTTCAATGTCAACTAGTTGTTCAAAGGTCCATCTAAGCCTTAGGGCTTCCATGCCCTGGTCAGATATCATTTTACTGGTGTGGGGCTTGTCAAATCTGGCTGGGTGAGTTGTTCACCAAAACTTCTTTTCCCAGATTGGATGACTGATCATCTGCAAGGCTCGAAAAATATTTGAATTACACCTTGCCCGTTGGGCAAGTAACCCTTAAAGGATCCCTTCCAACCACAATACCCTGCGCGCCTCTATTATTGTTTTGATGCCTAGTCAAATAGAAAGAACAATAAATTTGGAACGCGATTGAGGAAATTCAAGACCTCAGTGAGGCAAATGTACTCGGATGAACGAGGATTTCTTTCCACTTCACGACTTGTCCAATACCGGAAGGCAGAGAAAATGGCGGATTTCACATATCGCGCGCGCAATGTATTGTGGTTGGAAGGGATCCTTTAAGTTTTGATTGCCCGAAGCACTTCCCTGCTTGCCCAAGTTTTCAAACTAATTAATAATTCATGAACCCAAGAGTGGATTTTAATGTAATAATATATATAACACTTTTTATTTAGCGTGGAGGCGCCCAACTTGCATGTTTCGCCGGAAACAGAGATTTACCTGGATTTTAGCATCAAAGGGCTAGCTAGCTTCATTTTCATGGTAGAAATATGCGACTTCTCAGTTTTCACGTACAATTTCTACAGTTTAAATTAGTATATCGCTGTTGAGTTAAGTTTTGTACAGAGAACTGAAACATTCTCGCGGGAAATTGCTACAATTAAGAAATAAACACAGCGTTTTCGTTTCCAACGCGGCTATTTTTATCCTGGAAAGAAATTTGATTGGGGAGAATTTTGATCACGTGCTAGGCAACCACTTCTGAACCGTGAGCGCGCGTCACGCAATCAACGAAACAAGGCTATAAATTGTAATTTTCGTCAAGCTTCATCTAAACACTTGATTACCCTTGGGCCTAAAGCTTACCTTTTCTTCTCCAAATCGTTATCAAAAATTTAGTCGGCGAGCAGCTTGCCCACTGGGGAGAGAAAGTTACTTGCCCGAAGGGAAAATCTACTTGTTCCGGACGACCGAATGGGGTTTTTTTTGAGCCCTGCATCTGTCTCTCTTGAAACAGCTTCTGTCTGTTCAGTAAATTCTTCTACTCGGCTAACATAGTTCTTCACTTTAGTGAAGGGTAGGGAAATTTTCTTTTAAAATTTTCCTCTCTCCCAACATGTGTAGTTCAGTTGTTAGTAGCACCCAATTAGTATCTGGGAGGGGTGGGTTAGATCCCATCAAAGCCTAAATTATTTTAGTCTCCTTCTCTGCAATTGCCTATGATGCTCTATGTTCTTTTTGTTGTGTCAACAGGATTATGAAGCATTATTTGCTGACAGGTTTGTTATGCATTATTTACCTGAAGTATTATTTGAAGCTTATATGTCTTAAAAACCCTTGGAAATGCCAGAATTTAATGGTTTAAAAGTCCTTGAAATTCTCTGTTATACATTTTGGTCGGTTAGTGGTTCAACTTTTTTTTTCCTCTTGCGTATTTCGAGTGTTTACTACTCAATCATGGTCATGGCAACTCTTTAAAGTTTGTTGTTTCAGGCCAAAACGTACTCAAACTCTAGAAGAAAAAACAGTTGGACGGTTTGACAGTTTGAGCATTTTTGAAAGCAGAGAAAAAGGCATATAACTCAGCTTAGAGTAAACTTTTTCATTGTGGTTTACAAAAGATATGTGATTTTTTGAAGACCGTTTTCTCTATTTTTTTAAAAATGTGGTCCATGAAAGACCTTGTAATTATTGATCAAATTATAGCTTCAAAGTCCACCCAGCATTATTTGAGTTTGTGCATGAACATGTTGAGTTTTATGAAAGTGGTTACTTGTCTAGTGCTGCTATTGGAATGCAATGAACACCTTTGTATGTGCATTGTAGTTCATCTTGTTTTCTATGCACATATGCTAGATCAACTTTAATAACTCTCCACATCTTGGAAGAAACTAAAGGAGCACCCCACATCTTGTCCTAAATTTAAAATGAGTGCTCCAAGTGCCAATTTTGTTATCCTGATTCGTTGGTTCCATATGAAAAAACAGTTTAATTTTCAGACCTACAATAGTTTACTCTGTTCTGTTTACTTTTTAGTGGTTTTGCAGGATCTCAAGATAATGACCCTAGTCTCACTGAAGCGACCAGAATTAGCAGGTTATTAATACTGCTCCTTTTTTTTACCTGACGTATCAGAGACACAAATGGCTAAACAGGGTTTTGGGGATCATTTTACACCTTTAAATCAGGGAAACATTGCTTTTGACTTATTTGGTTTTTGCACCCCTTGTTTTCATGAAGTATTACCAATGTTTGCTAATAACCTGTGGATTGCTATCTGAACAGTGTCTTGCTAAATAAAAGCCTTATGAGTTTTTTGAGCATGTCCAAATCAGGTGATCGTTTATGAGAGTGCAAGATAGTTTGTATTCAAACTCAAGGATAGGTGAAACTTTCATCAACCATCATAACCCATGACTATTGAAATGGGGCTTTGCACTGTATCTCGACTTAAATTCCCTGGATGCAGCACACCACATGTCCAATTATTTTAAATTGCTTGAGCTGCATCTTGAGTCGTATTTTGCCAGTGTGTTTACCAGATTTATGCCTTAGTCATACAAACCACCTTCGATTAAAATTCTTGGAAAGAACAGGAATATGTGGAGGATTTTATAATCTAACCCTTTTCCTCAATACACAACATGTAATGGAATTTAAAAGTAACAAAAAATAATTTTTAGGTGTACAAATGCATACCATGACCACTGAAAGAAGTTGTGATATCAAAAAACTGTCAAAATATCAAAATTCTGCTTGAACATAACTAATTTAACGTGGAACTTTACAGTACCTGACAAATTGTTAACAGTATCTTCATTACAGGGGGTGTTCTACTTCTCAAGAAGAGGAAACTATGGAAGTTGTATATGAAAGTGATGAAAAACAGTCCACATCCCCCATGTGCACAGGAGAAACTAGAAGTCACAGGTACTGACGACAATACTGCCAATGTTATGCTAAAATTGGCTCATTTTGATTAGACTACGAGCAGTCCCTCCATTTTTGGCGAAGTCTATTGCGCGAATAAAAAAAATCGTGAAAGAAAGTTGATGTTGGCGCGCCACGGGAAGCGCTTGAAGTGATGCCGATGCGCCACAGAAGCTCCGTGAGTAAGGCGTCTCACCCATGAAGCTCCTGCGGTCTATAGGCACCAATTCAAGAGTTCACCATGGTACCCCAGCAGTAATTTTTTTTCACAGATTTTTTTCTTTTTGGACTCGCGCAACGGACTTCGCAGAAAAGGAGGGACTGCACGTAGTCTACATTTTGGTGTGAGCACTTTCCCCGACCTTTCAAGCAAGAGTTGCAGATTTATCTCACACAAACACACACACACACTTTATTTTGAGAGTTCCACAGACTTGTCCTTGCTAAAATCAAGATTTTAGAAATTTCGAGAATGGTTTCGAAAATGAAATGTGCAAAACTCAGCCTAACAAAAGCATTCATTGTTTGGTCCTGTTTGGCTCAGGAGTGATGTTAAAAAAAAAAATGCCGAGAACTGTCGCTGAAGGTGTGACAGTTCTCTAACTGAAACATTCTCTTCTTCTTTGTACTCAGGGAGTTTTGTGAACATCATCTCTTTTGCAAAATAACACTTGCTGTTTCTGTGGACACAAACAAAAAAAAGAAAAAGAAAACAAAGAAAGAAGACGCAGGTGCTGAAGGATGCAGCACTAATGCAGATATTCTCAAAATGTGCAATGCACTCTTAAACTCTGGTGGGGGATTGCTGGAAATGGAATTAACCGAGCTCCAGGACGACGGCACTAGTGAGAAAGATTCCGTGGATAGTTATTGGAGAAAAATCGAGCCTTCTTTACGTGAAATGATAAAGCCATCGAGTTACGACGATGTCTTTGATCGTTGTGTACTTTCCAATAAAATTCAACTCTTTGTAAATGCTCCAAAACAGTTCTGTACCAAGAATTACAATTTGTATGTTCCAAGTGATGGATCCGTGCTTCCGGCTTCTCGCGATAAAGTTGCCGAAATTCTGATGCAGAAACCGCAAGGTTCCAGGAGAGAAGCAAATTCAAATGTGCGAGTAGCGCTGAAAGAACTTCTAAAGGTTCCGGAGGAGTTTTCTTGCAATGAGGAATTTGGCTTGACAGAGTCGAAACAACTTCAATATAAAAACTACACGTCAGGTAATGATTTGTTTGCAAATCATAGTCAGAGGGAAAAGATCTGTAAACAATTGTCAGCGTTTGGTAACTGTGACGGTGGAGTCGCTCTGCTGGGAGTAACAGATGACCGACGAGTTCAGGGAGTGGACTTGACTAAAAACAGTAAGGACTATGTCGTGAATGAGATACGTTCCCTGGTCAACAAAGTTTGCCCAAACTTTGAGCCAGAAAGAGGTATCCATTGGGATGTGGCTTTCCACCCTGTCATGGAATATGAATCCCATTGTGTCGTAGTGATAACTATGGCAGGAATTCAGTATTCTGGGGGAGTGTTTGCAAAATCTCCTGAAAGCTACGAGTTACGACGTGATGAAGCTGGGAAGCAGGTCCCTCGCCTTCTTGAATTTCATGAGTGGAAAAAGAGAGTGGATGGTGCGAGATTGCCAGAGAACAGCAAAGGTGTGTGCCTTTACCAATTTTAGGGTAATTCATACTCTAGTCGAAAATGTTCTCAACTCGTACAAATGATGTATTTTGGATCATTAACTCAACAATTTTGTCAGTCATATATAAGAGCCCGTAATTTGCCACTGCATGCATCGTGCGTAAACACTATTATAAGTGGCAATTTTTGTGAGATGTGATGTACTGAAATTGATTATTTACCTGTAATTTTAATCATATGTTTAAATCCGGACAATATACATCTTTAGCTTCTATGTTTTGTGCAACCGTTTAACCAAAATTTGGTCCCTGCAACTTGCCCACGTATTCAAACTGGTTTGAATTCGTGGAACAAGTCGCACGGACAAATTATCCAGGTCCATGTCAGTCCAATAACTGATAAGTACTTTAAGTCCCATCACCCCTTTCGAACCTAAATCTATTTCAATTTTTTTTCGGCATGGCCCAGAGGGTCCTAGAGAATAAATCTTCAATTTTTTTGTGTTAAGGCTTTTTTTAATAACTGCTGTTTTTCATTTCTGGATCAGTAGTATACGGAACCCTACGGGTAAAAAACGCTTCGAAATTGTAAATGACTGCCCGATTTTGTAGATTGGCAATATGCTGTTGCAAATTCGGTTTCACTGAGCTTCCCTGAATTTCTTTGAAAGCGCCGTAAATTTTGCTATTTCGATGTTTAACAAGTCCTAGTGATTAATCGCTGTCTATGAGTTAATTGAATTTTAAATTTCGTTGTCACCCTTGGTATTTTCAGGAATGAACGAATTACTCTCGAAGTTCGAAAAGATGCAAATCTCCAAAGGAGCTCTATTTACGATAAAAGGTGGTGTCCAGAGGATAAGAGATTCTTTTTTCAAGGGTAAGCTGTATAAACCGAATCTTGACGAATGGGAGCTCTAGAATATTCTTCTACCGACTTGTTCCTGGTTCGCAAATATAAGTAAACAACAGAAGCCTCTGCTTAATTAATCTATCCAGATTTCCCTTGTTCAATTCCAAATCACTCCGTTCTGCTGGTTTTCTTTTTATTTGTTTAGAAAAACAAGTGCAAACGTGTACTTACTAAAAACAATGAATTATGTTGTGCTGAGTAATAGTCAACTTTATGAACGCGATATGCGTCGTTTGCATGTTACTGTATTTGGAAGGTAGAGGCATTTTCTCGACAGCTTGCAGACAGGGGTGATGCCTGACCACCTCGTAAAACAGATGAAGGCGTGATGATTTTAACTATGATCAATTTTGAATATGAATTATATTTATTTAATAGTTATGCGCCTGAATTGTGTTGATGTAAAGTATTTATTCTGCATTCTGATTATATCATCTTTGCCGTGGTCATGTTATTTGCCGTGGTAATGTTGTTTGTTTGTTACTTTTTGCTGCCCATTCCTACCCTGGTCTTGCTGGATAAACATCATTTTGATAAGACGTTTTGAAATTTGTTTTCATTATATCACTGTGCAACACAAAGCGCCGAACTGAGGTAAACGTCCCGCAGACGATATCCATGGCTAAGCAAACTGTTTTCAGACAGCTAAATCATGTTTCATTAATATACCTACACAAGGAGTTTGCTTAAAAATTCTATACGGTATCTTACTAGACTTGTCGCTTTTTATTTTTTTGTAATTGCAGTTGATGAAGAGTTCTCCATTTTACCGAAAGGTGCAGCGGACAACCTTTCAAAAGAAGCTCAAGAAGTGATTCACGAGATCCAAAGGGCTTGTTGTAAGGACTGGAACCGTGGACTACTGGTTGTGTCACGTTCTTGGCTCCGCGATACCGGAGGTAAAGCAATCGATGGGCTCATCTGCGACGTTCTTGTTGTCAGCAGAAACATGGGTGGCCTTCATCTTTATACCCTCTGTAATACAGTCGATGAGACCTCTCAGAATTACAGCAAGGAAGCTGCCCAGGCAATTAAGAGAAGTCTTCAAGATAATGGCGCCAGAGGCCAGAAGTTTTACGTGTCATTCCATGTAGTATCCTGTTGCGGACGCGTAAAAGTCGAATCACCGTTACTTGACGGCCGTTTCCCGAAGTCATATGACCTGGAGTCCCCGCGAGAGAAGTTAAATGAAATACTGAAAGCCATGGTCATAGGTCTTACAGCGGTGCCCTCGACTCTGTCTAGTAAAGTGGGCGAAACCATTCTGAACCTCCTGACTGAGGAGCAGTTCTGCTTGGTCCATTACATGATTGACAAAACAAGGGAGTTATGGGTGAAGGGCGTGGCTGGAACAGGAAAGACCCTTGTAGCAGTAGAGATTATTAAGAAAATCAGGCAGCGTGAAAATTTGGGAGTGGATGAAATACTATATGTCTGTGAAAATGAGGGAATAGCCAACCACGTGCGGTAAGAATCGCTTATGAAATACGATTACACTTCAGGACGAGCTTGTTTGCTGGAAACACTCCAACCCTGTATCCGTTTGCTTCTCTCCTCTGTTAATTTTCTTCTTTTTGCAGGTAAAGTCTCTACAGAGACTTCACCTGCCTTTTCATGACCGTGTGAGTAAAACCGGGTTGTTGTATGAGGCTAAATGTAATTTAGACGAAATTAAAAACCGAGTCAATTTTGGGGCCCCAAGAAAGGTTTGGAAGGGTGGCATGTGCTTTTGGTCCGTTCACTTTGTTCCGGGCTTTGCCAGCCGTGTTTTCGTCCTTTCCTCCACCCCCTTTCTTTTTTCTTTTGCCAGCTGTGTTTTCTTCCTTTTCAGCACCTCACTGTCCCCCCCTCCCCCCCCCTCCCACTAAAGCATAAGTTTTTATCCTGCACATAAGTTTGCTGGTGTATTTTTGTTAATTGGAGGTGGGCTGAGATTGCTTCCTTTCTCTCTCGCCACCCTCACGGAACCGATCCTCCAGTACTTAACTGACGAATTGTTTAATATGATCGTATTGTAAATAAAATTTCCGCCGCTTTCGTTGATAACCTTTTATTCGGGCCAGTTACTATTGCGAAGTATTTCACGGGAAGAAAACTCTTGGCCATTTCTCGATCATTTCTCGCGAAGTCTTACGATAGAAACCATGTGTAGTTTAGCTATGCATTTGAGACCAATTCCGCTGGAAGTGGGTACTCCATTTGCCTTTGTACGGGTGTTGTAGGTGTATTAAGTTATTTTCAAAGACCAGTTTGCTATTTCCTTTCCAATGAGAGTAGGTTAACTCTTTTTTTCTTGGAATAGAAATGGTACTTTCGGGACCCAGCAAAGTAGTTTCATTAAAGTCATATTTCAGTTCAGAAGGTAATGCGTTATTATTTTGTTTTATTCGTTAGAAGAAGTCGTTCGTGTACTGTAGTTTGTCGAAAAACCTTCTTGGACAGCGTGTTTCGACAAGCCAGACATGTGATTAAGGATGAAGTACATAACTACGAGCAACCTTCCGGTATTGAATCGTGGTATGAGAAGGCAAAGCGTATTGTTCGACAGCATGATCCCGACAGACCAGGATACCTCTGGTTTTTCATTGATCTCTTCCAAAAGAGTCACGAGTTCCCATCAGGTATTCCAAACGAAGACCAGCAACAGCCTCAATTTCGGTTAACCAAGATCATTCGGAACTCAAACAAGATATTTCGTCGTGCAAAAAAAGTTCTCGGGGATGTTTCGAAGGTTGAATTCGACATTGGGCACGACTTCGAAGGAGAAGAGGTAGAGGAAATACCATACATAGCTAAAGAAACATCCCAAATAGAAGTTCTGAAAAAAGTATTGCAGGAGCTTTTGGATAAAGGTTACAACCACGGCGATATCGCTGTACTGTTCTTAAAGAAGGAGCGAATACCATTTGATGAAGAACTCTCTGTTGCCCTGAATGGTTCACCTTGGATGTCAGCAGAGGGAAATGATTCGGACGCAATAGTTGTAAGCACCGTCCTGAAGTACAGTGGTCTCGATCGACCCGTTTTAGTTCTTGTGGATGTGAAAAAAACTTTGTACAGACGCCAGCTCCGTCCCTTCCTTTTCAGCGCAGTGACACGCGCCATGGTTAAACTAATCATGATTTACGAAAAAAAGCAAGGTTGCTATGGAAGGGCTCATTAGTTCATTGCAGAAACAAGGTCAAACAGCAGAGACTGTATGTCGGTAGATATAATTTTTTTGAATTAGTTTTGGGATGATCGGAGACTAGCGTGAATTACTACTTTGCCCGCGCGTATTAAAGAGATTTGTAATTATGGAGGAACCTTTTGTGGCTAAAGTTTATAATTTGTAGCCGTTTCGGTGGTGAAACATTAATCTAGTCTATTTGATAATGTAGAGGCTAAGTTAATGTCCCTCTAGGGATTACATTTTGTGCATTTTTTAATTTATTTCTTACATTTCATGTACGATAGCTTTAAAAATGTAAAATGAAAATTAATGCATTGCATGGGATTTTTTCAAATGTAGAGGTAGGCTTTCCATTAAAATTACATGTAAATAGAAATGAGTAAAGAAGAGACAGATTTTCGAACGAACCATGTGCTGTTTATATATATGTGCACGATCCTTCGCAGTAAAGCACTATTTGAGCAATAGTGAAAATCAGACCTGAAAAAAATTTCAGGCCTGTACGGGATTCGAACCACTGACCTCTGCGATACTAGTGCAGCGCTCTACCAATTGAGCTAACAAGTCAACTGGGAGGAGGCCATCAAATTAATTCGACATAAACCCGTAGATGATAAATCAAACAACAACAAACATGAAACGTATGTATGAACTGCGGTTATGAAACGTATATGTGCACGATCCTTCGCAGTAAAGCACTATTTGAGCAATAGTGCTTTACTAATTTGAGCAATAGTGCTTTAATAATTTTTTTTCAGGTCTGATTTTCACTATTGCTCAAATAGTGCTTTACTGCGAAGGATCGTGCACATAACCGCAGTTCATAACCGCATTTCATAACCGCAGTTCATACATATGTTTCATATGTTTGTTGTTGTATGTGCTGTTTGTTTGGAAGACTAGATATGCGTTTCAGCTCGTGTAATCCTGGGATATCGCAGTGTTTCTTGTTGGGTGGGTTCCTTGCCATAATTACAATGCCATCCTTCACTGAAAGGTTTCCAAAGAGTACCACCAATAAGAAATTTACTGATCACGTAGTCCAACACCCAATTTATTGAGAGCAACGATATGTTCATTGTTTTAGGTTCCCTGAACCATTCTTTGAAGGTGTGCTTAACAAGGGAGAGGCTTCCTTTAAAGGTGATTTGGTTATATCAACTAAGCTGAAATTGTAAATTGGCCACCGCAGCGAATAACAAAGCTGACGTTTCGAGCGTTAGCCCTCTGTCAGAGCTTACAATTCCAACTTAGTTGATATAACCAAATGACCTTGTTACCCCCACCGACGCAGCACCACAGTTCTTTAGAATCTTCCAGCCTTTATTCACTTCCTGTAAGGGGTTGACAAGCCCCTGAGAATATTGCTATGTTCTTGTGATCGAACTTCACAGTGTTACAGGAACTTTTACTTACTAAAGTCTCTTTGAAGTTGCCATCTTTTTCAAGAAATGATGCTTACGGTGAGGCAACGGACATTCACATTGAAATTGACGACGTATTTAAAGGGGATTTAGGAGTTGAAAATTCTTTTCGAGATTCTTTCTCCTCAAACTTCATCAGCCAGGGTATAAGGTGCTCGGACCACAAACGTTATCGAACGATTTGGCAAGAGTGCAACTGATATCCTTGTTATCATTCATGGAAAACCTTACTGTCCAGCCGAGTTTTGGCATCGCCGCTCAGCGCCAGGAATTTGCCTTAAAATTGTTGGCAAAAGTGGAACATCACTTCAAACGGTCAAAAACAACAACCACAGGTGGCCTAGGCTCTGTCACAGGCTCTTTCAGAGTGGATTATTATAGAGTTTATATAGCGGTTTAGTTGGACTTGCTTTTGAGCTCCGTAAATATAAAGTTTTGTGAAATAATCAAAGAAAAAAAGTCACCTTCATACAGAGTAGTCTCTGCTGTTCAAGTCTTGTCGCGATTTTGAGGCCGTTTTGCTGTGTTTCAGCTTAACTTCCTAGCACTACCAAATAAGAGGAAAGGTAGGAAGCTCTGCCTCACACACGCTCACCAAAATCACTCAAAAAACACACTTGAATAATACCCCTTGAATCAAAACTTGGCAGCACGAAAGCCAAATAGTTCCCCTTCAAGGTCACTAAAAGAAATCCCACAAAAGTTGGGTTGTCGAGCTACCAACCCAGCGAAAATCTCAAATTGACCGCCATTTCAACGCCATTCAAATTGGCGACTTTTTCATCCCTGTCGGCGCTCGCGCGAGCAAACGCAATTATCAGCGGTAGCTATAACGGATCATGAGCAAATATCGATCTTATAGAATCCAGATTTTTAAATGTGCAAGAACGCGCATGGAATTGCTAAACTCACGAAAGCTATTGCATGAAAACAAGTCCGGTGACCCCTTCTTTTTACTGTTCCAGTATAATAATAACGTCGAAAGGAATCATCAGAAAAAAAAAAACTAGAAAATTCTGCGGAAGGAAATTTGCGATGTGTGAAAATTGCTTTTTTTTCTAGATTTTCTGAAATTCCACTCGGTAGAATTTTTTTAAAATCTTTGTGCATTCTCAAGTGCCAAAAGCAATCACTGAAAAAAATCACGGGGTCGCCGGGTTAGTTTTCGAATTATTTAAGCCACAAGCTAAAAACTGCGTCTGAATTAGCCTACGAAAGCTTTGCCATAGATACTGCTAGTGACGGAATGACACCTATTTTTGGATAACCGATGATTATAAAATTCAACCCCGTAAAAGTGTTTAACTGGCCTTGATCAGTCTTTCTGTTGTATTCTTTTAAAGATACAAACCATCAAAAAGATGAAAACCGGTACGAGCCACCTTTTAAACAATCGTACAATAATGCTATTTATATTGGAATTCGTTGCACCTATATAATAACATTTTTGTTCTCAGAAGATAGAGGCCAGAGGGCCTTCTGACCCACAATGTTGAATAACTCAAATCGGGTTGGTATCTTCTTGTGCGTCATTGATCTTTTTAAACTTAATATAAATTGCAAGTATATTAGTTCTTAAAAATATTCCTGGTGACATGTAAGTACAAATCAATGGTATTTGATTGTATTGTAGTTTGTTCCATTATTCGTGAATCTTAGTTGGTAAGTAAGTTTTTTATTTCAGTGCAGATTACGTTGCCTTACAGATTTGATTAAAGGGGCTACAGTACGGTTTTTTCTTAAAGAAGAACTTGGCCTAAAAATTTTCCAGTTAATTATTGGTTAATCCTGTTTTGATCTTCATGCTCCCTCCTATTTTATCAAAACTGTTATTAATAGTCACCTATAAGTCTGAGCATTTTTGGAGAATTAAGGTCAATTCGCCACCGCAAAACTGGCCATCCCAAAACTTGCCACTACCCAGAGACAAATTGCCATTGGAGGCGATTTGACTCAAACATTATGTGTAGCCTCTTGTGTGAAAATGTAAGAGTATATATTTGCAAAAAGGAAAGGTTCTCTGCAGTTATGTGTATCATCTCAAATATGGAACATAACAAAAGAAGATATGTAGATATCAAGAAGATCGTGATCAGTTTGCAATCAATGAAACCAGTAATATTGCAAGCAGGAAGTGATTTTCGCAGATACTGATTGAATCGTATGAAATTTACATCAAGTAGAAGTATAACGCAACACATAAAGTACTTACAAATACAACAAAGGTTACACTAATAGACTGTTTTGCAATTCTCAGAATATCATTTTGCAGCTCCTTTACAAAGGCTGCTTGTTTTTAGCTATTTTAGCTGCACTGTATGTTTCATCATCATCATTTTCAGTCTTATTTCCTAGTAAGACTTATTGTTCAGGCTCAAGCTTGTTCATTCTTTTATGTTATCCTCCCTCCTTTTGATCTTTCTTTCTTCCTCTTTTTACAATACCAGGAATACCATGATTAGTTCTGATAATCTTGAAATATACCCATACCCTGACATTTTGTGCGTGTTTGTCATATCTAGACGGTCCTGATAAGGATCTATGGCTGATCTTCAGATGTCAATAAGACAATGGACTTAATTTACTCACTCTTAAACATTAAAAATTTGTTGCTTTCTGTTTTTTTAAGTACCCTGGCCACACAGAATTGTAGTGATGGGTAGAATCCAGTTTAGGGACCAAAGAGAAGAGGTAGGTTTTGTGCCCTTGAATTCTTGAAACATGTTCATCCATAAAATACAGAAAGAAAGAATGGAATGTGTCATTCATAAGTCAGACATGTAGAAAAACAATAACAACAACGAAAAAAACAAATGAAGTAACTTTCCAATGATCATTTAGTATTGGGTCAAGTGCTCTTTGAGTGAGATGTAAAAATGGGATACTTTATATGATTTTTAACATATATGTATATGAACTACGAAGTTGTTAGTGTAAAAGAGATGTTTTTAAAGAATTGAAACGTGCTTTCCATTATTCAGTATCTTTCTTTTGAGAAGGATGAGGAAGTGTGTATTGAAAGTGTTACTGGGGTGTGTATTTGAGCAGGCAATTGCTGCCATAATTCTATCAAAAGAAAAGACCACATTATTATGAACAACTTTTACAAACATCAAGTGTAGGATAATTATACCCTTGGAGAATTTACCAGCACCATCTCTATTATCAATATGATTTCTATGTCTCTGTAAGGAAAAATCAGCACTTATGGAGCTTCAGCTCCATCCAGCAGTGTCTCTTTGTGGGTGTTTTGAGGGTGGTGTTGGTAATGTATTCAATATACTCTTGTGTAACTTTAAGTTACACACTTTGCTTCTTTACGCAACATCCACATGTTTTGAGAATTCCAGGACAATGGGATGTGTCTAAAACGAAGACCCAAAAGCGAAGACCTAAGACCTAAGACCCACTGGTCTAAAACGAAGACCCTGTGGTCTAAAACGAAGACCTGTGGTCTAAAACGAAGACCCACTGGTCTAAAACGAAGACCCACTGGTCTAAAACGAAGACCCACAGGTATAAAATAAGACCTGCTGGTCTAAAACGAAGACCCACTGGTCTAAAACGAAGAGCCATTGTTCTAAAAACCCTTTTTTTCAAGGAAAAGCTATACACTAAACTAAAATGCTCTCATTTCTGTGGCGCATAACTTAAAATGTTATCTTTGCGCGCGACCACCTTGACAGTTACGTTAGCTCAGTCGGTACAACACGTGTCAAAGCAATTAAATTCTAAGAATATAGAAATATGCGTTTTAGGGCCTGTTCGCACTACACCGAAAAATTTGGTTTGGTACTTGCAAAAAATTGAAAATTTTGTATCGGCGAATTTTTTTTTTTTCGTAATATAACGTTTGCACTTAAGACGTGCGAATTATTTGTGTAACCACAAATGTTAATCAATCAAAATAGGTACCGAGACTTCGTGACAGTGCGTTCCTTTGATGTCGTACCCGGTCAAAGGCTGTCGGAAAGCAAAATGCCTCCGCGAAATGCTTTAATCGCCCTTCTTTGCTGTTTGCTTGCCATGCAAAACCTGATTATGACCAGTCATCAGTTACTTCTGGTTTTGTTGGGAAGGATTCGGCTTTTACGGATCCTGGAGACTTTAATACTCTTTCTTCGGCATGAGGAGATGTTGGTCGAGTCAAGTCGCGCGCTAAGGTAACATTTTAATTTATGCGCTACAGAAATGAGAGCATTTTAGCTTAGTGTATAGCCTTTCCTTGTTCAAAAGGTTTTTAGAACAATGGATCTTCGTTTTAGACCAGTGGGTCTTCGTTTTAAACCACAGGGTCTTCGTTTTAGACCACAGGGTCTTCGTTTTAGACCACAGGGTCTTCGTTTTAAACCACAGGGTCTTCGTTTTAGACCAGTGGGTCTTAGGTCTTAGGTATTCGCTTTTGGGTCTTCGTTTTAGACACATCCAGGACATTTGCCTTATCAAGGCCACTGATTGTAATACAGTTAAACCTCTCCACAATGGCCACCTTGAGGACAGAAGAAAGTGGCCATCATGGGGAGGTAGGGGTGTTATGTATGGACAGCCTGCTGGGACCAAAAAATTGGCCACAGGGGAGAGGTGGCATCGTATAGAGGTGGCTATTAGTGGAGGTTCGACTGTATATTCTAGAACGAGACAGCCAGTGTTGTTATGGTAAAAATGCCACTCAGTAACAAAGTTTTAGCTCACTGAGACTTGCTCTTTGTGCGATGATTTCTGACCATTGCTCAAAAAATGTTATCATTGGGAGCCTTTCCTTGCATTCTTTTTTGTTTTTGTATGAGTGATAAAATCATTCAATCTTTATCGTTGTATTTTAAAATATTATATGACCTGATGCTATTTTAGAATTACCTAATTAAAGCAAATTCTACAAAGTACGGGATCAAGTCATGGAGATACCAGGCTGCCCGACTATGGAACACTACTCCTAATAATTTAAGATATATTGATGGCTACCACAGTTTTAAACATGGACTCAAGGAGATTGACCTTGCAAGTTTATAGTCCCTTATTTGCAATTTAACTTAGTTTTAACGTAGCTCCATATACAATATCATTTTAAGCACTTTTATAAAGTTGCAAGTTTATAGACCTTTTTTGCAATTCAACCTAGTTTTTATAAGTTTAATAGTTCTATAATTTTTTGCAGTTCCTTGATACTACATCATTTTATACACTTTTATATAGCTTTTAGGTTTATTTATTTATCTTTTCTTTCGTGACTGATCTGTATACTAGTTAACAAATGGTAAACACCACAGCGTACACTAATGAGTTATGGATGCACGCGAGAGGTTGCTAAGCACGAAAGAAGCGTAAGAGTCGCGCGAGGCGATAGCAGAGAGCGACTCTAGCTTCATGAGTGCTTAACAAACCTCCCAAGTGCATCCATAACTCAATAGTGTACGCTGTGGTGTTTATCATTTGTTTTATAACATAACATTGATACATCGTAGCTAAAGAGTTCTCTTTTATTTAACAAATCTTATGTGACCAGAAAATACCAGCGCGCGCGGAAAAATTGTTTTTGCATGTGCTCACGTCAGCAGCATGCACCCATGGGCAAATAGGGGACGCTGAATTGACCAATCGGAGCGCGCGCTTTACTTTGGTTATATTATAACTTCATATAGCTAAGTGTCAGCCACATTTACAGAGTATGTATGTATGAGTATATGAGACTTTGAGTAATCCTATTTTTTAAGGATAATCAGTTGTGTGAATCAATTAAAAATTATTGAAAGAAAACCACTGCATTGTATAAGCTAGACCATAGATAAAAGATTTTTTTTCCAATTTCTTTTGAATTGTATGACAGATTATGTAGGGAAGAAAAGACAGTGTGCAGTCACTGAATAAATAACAACCGGTAACTGTAGTTTAATAAGGATTAGAGGTTGATAAAAGTTTGACTTCTTATCTTTAGGACCCTGATTGGTACAGAGCTTCAAACTCTGAGGGAAGGAAGGGATTGATACCTTACAGTCATGTCGCTTTTCAAACAATTAAAAATTTATTATTGTCGTAGGAATTTATTATGTTGTAGGAAAACAATTAAAATTTTATTATTGTCCTTATTTGGAACAAAAGTAATTTTTAGATCACTCACTTACAGTACTGACAATACCCAAAGGTAGTCAACCACAAGACACTTAGTCATAAGTCTGCAAATATGGACTTTTTTTGGTTAATAGTCTCCTTGAACTGAGCAACATTTTTGCAAATTGCATTGATGGTGATTGTTATATCTTAACAAAGTGCAATCCATCTGGTGAATCTTCCTCCCTCAAATGGTTTGGATGAAGACATACTGATTAAGTAGGTGTATGGAATGTTGGATGTCCATCTGCTTGAAAGCCTGTATTTGGTCTTTTTTGCTTTTTTTTGAGATCATGACTTTTGGTATAAGATAGGCCTACATTTTAATTTTGCATTACAGATTGTTGTCAACGAGTAAAAAGGCCCTAAAAAGTTTGTTTGTGCGTACTTTTCTAAGGTCTGATGGCAAGAGAGAATATGCTGAAAATCTCCTGACAATTCAATTAAGCTTCAAAACGAATGATTACCCTGATGCTCTTCCTCGAACAATTTGTGCTGTTCTTAATTCTGGGGGTGGGGTAATGAAATTGGAGATTAAAGATTGCCATGATATGGAAAGATTTGATAAATTTTGGTAAAGTTTGGAAAACAAATGCTTGGATTTCATGATAAGACCAGTTTCTTTTAATGATGTATTTGATAGGGATGTTGAAAAGAACGGTGAACAAATTGAAGTGCTCCTTTTTATTGGGGCGCCAGGTCATTGGTGCACTTTGAAGTCTAACTTGTACGAAGCTCAAGATGCCAAAAATCCAGAGGCTTCGTTTCTAGACACTCTTCGTTTATTAAATGTTCAACCAAATGATGAACCAAAAGACTAACTAAAAAATTTAATCCAAAGTCTTCGCAAATTTCCCGCAGAAGTATTTTTGAATGAGAAGATTTTATTTCCCGAGTCGAAACAAATACAATTTAAGTGCTTCACATCTGTCAAGCCATTACTGCATAAAGATAACAGTAATCACACGAAGCCATTTAAAAGACAGATTTCTGCATTTGCCAATACTAGTGGAGGAATAATCTTTCTTGGAGTAGATGACAATGGTTAAGTAATAGGTGAAGATCTAAGTAAGAAAGAAAACACCATAAATGCTGTGCAGCAAAGAATAAAGTCGCTCATTGAAGAAATGAAATGGCCTTCCCCTTGTGAATGGAACAGTTTTTGGGACTTGAAATTCTTTACAGTTGATGGCAAAGAAAACTTCTTTGTTATAGCAATATATGTGGCATATGTGAAAGGAGGTGTGTTTACAAAGTACCCAGAAAGTTATGAGTTAAGGCTTGAGGAAGATGGTCAGGAAAGAATTTGTAGAGTTGAACTGAATTTGACAAGTGGAAGAAACAGGTGTTATGTGGGATGGATACCCTGCAATTGGATCGCGGCAAAGGATAGGTACCT